CTGTTGCAGTATTCTTAGGTTTTTAGTGTTGCAATAGGTAATGTAAGTGCTTTCGAGTATCTCGATGGTATAAAACCGTTTTAAAACCATATCACATAGTTGTGAAGGGCCGCGGAATCTAAACGGCCCGTATTTTGAGAATCACCCCTACACATTCGTGCTGAGGTTTTGCCTAGTAGGCAGGCGTAGATACCGACCGCTCCGCACAGCTGTGTGTTGGGCGGGTTTTGCCTACTTTTCTGGCAACAACACTGAGAGCGACCGAGAAGTCCCACCCGTGCGGCCGCGGCCGGCGCGTCGTCTGCTGTCTGAGACCGCTGTCTTTGAGTGTACTTTCATTGGACGCATAATAAATTACCTCATACCACATCCTTGTGAATTTTACTCACCCGTGCCAACCAGTAATGTCAACTGTAAAATTTGTATTACGTAAGTATTGTAATGGTATGTAGTGTATGACAGCATGCCGTTTCTGAGGTAAATGAGGTTTACTGAACAATAGGTGTAGGCTAGACCTCACATTGATCAAATCAGAAATGACAGTCACTCTCAACCTCTACCTATTACCGAGCAGATCACGAAAAAAATGAATTGGTCGTCGTGACAATCGATCAAAAAATTGTTGAGGTAACTAATTGTTTGTTTTCAGAACCAAGTGTCAGAACAAGCTGTTCGGTGCTTGAGCTAACGCATTCGTTCTAAAAACAAACCACGAATTGGCTCCTGCAGCAACGTGCTTCGTTTTAGCGAACAACTCTTGGCTCTGACAACTTAATCTTGGTCCTGACAACAAATTATTAGTTACCTCAACAATTTTTTGATCGATTGTCACGAAAGTAACTAATATTTAGTTCTGACGACCAATTTATTTTTTTCCGTGATAGTGAGGCTGTGTGTTCAAATCTCCAATTTCAAGACGCCAGGATCAACAACTTTCTCAGAGCACAATCTTTTGAACTGCAAAGCTCACATATTTGTAGGGATGATACAGGAGAGGGCACAGAAACAAGCAAGACCGCCCTTCTGCCAAACGGAGTTGCCAGCTCCGCTTCGCTCCACCGGCAACTCCGTTCGGCAGGGGCAGCGGCGCACAGTGCGGCAGAGTCGGAAAAAGACGGTCAGAATTCTAAAGCTCACCCTTGTACGAAAATTGGTACCCGGGGGTTTTGGGGGACGCTGCATCGATTCCCGACATCTGTTACTGTTTGAACCGGTTTGCACCTCCCGGCTCATCCTGGGGTTGTCGTCGGGAACCTCATGGTGTCCACGGTGACGCCCCTTTTGAAAATTGGTACATACCGATTTTTAGTGACGCTAAATCGATTGGTAACGTCCGTCCGCACCGATGGGAGGGGGGGGGGGAGTTTCTTTCCTATTTAGCGATTTTTTGGCCGTCTTCTACAACTTATTGTTCACCTCAGCAATTTTTGGCTTATTTTCGTCAAAAAAGACCTTCCAGCGCCTAAACGGTTAGAGGTAGAGCCAAACGGAATTTTTGACCAAGGGGCTCGACTTTCACTAGTTACTCGTTACAAGAATCTAACAAGCAGGCCCGCCCTTCCGCCAAACGAAGTTGCCAGCTCCGCTTCGCTCCGCCGGCAACTCCGTTCGGCAGGGGCGGGGCCTGCTTGGCCTCCCGGGTGGAACGAACTTGACTTGGTACAATATCGCCGAAGTGTGCTATTCTTTATCTAAAAGTATAAGAAAACTGCTAGTTTTTTCGACAGAATTAACTTTTGAAGGAAGTTTTCGTGTAATTGTCCTCATAAAGTGTACTTTTAGTTAACTTTTTCTTTACTCTAAATCTTCACTCTTAATATGTTAACATCAATGTGTACTTTTAGATAAGTTCGTTCCATCCGGACTGCCGGCGGTGATGGTCGGGCCTGCGGCCCGACCATTTCTGTCACGCGATTTCCTTAAGAACATGATCGACTGATGTAGTGGGCCTTCGGCCCGCTTAAACCCGTCATCTTTGAGTTTGCCCCAAAGACTCGAGAAAGGGATGTAACGGTGAAGACTACAACCCACCCTTCTGCTAAGAAAACGTTTTTTGGGGGGTGGGGGGAGAGTTTCCTTTCCATTTTGCGGGTTTTCGGCCTTTTTCTACAACTTACTGTTCACTATGGCAATTTTAAGCTTATTTTCGTCAAAAAAAAGCCCCTCTAGCGCCTTAACGGTGAGAGATAGAGCAAAACGGACG